TCCTTTCTCTAAGGTAAAGTAGTAGTAACAATAATGGTATGTTTTGAACTTTTATTAGTTCTTTATTTTGTAGGCAATACAACTTTTTGTTAAAAGAAAGAATACAGATTAAAAAAGTTTTAAATCATCTATTTACATGAGATATTTGCTTTCACATGAAAACATCATGAGATATTGTATTTCAAAGCTTTCTAACACATATATACTTTATATAATGAAAAGTATCATTCTAGTAGTAGTACCATGAGCAGCCTACATCCAGTGAACATTTATTATTTGCCTGTTTAATAGTATTTAATGGTTCCTTAATTTCATAGATGGGAAAATCAAGATACAGAGAAATTTAAAACTTTTCCAAAGTTGCATATCTAAAAAGCTGCAGATACGGAATTGAAACCCAGACAGTCTGAGTTCAGATTATAGGTTCTTGTTCACTCAACAACACGCCCTGGTCAACTTTCCATGTGAATAAACATACATCAAGAATTCCATTTTAAGGGTATAACAATTTGTATAAACAATCTCCCATTGAGCATTCAGGTTGTTTTCAACTTTTCTATGATATAAACATTGCTATGATAAACATCCACTATATATACATTGTTGCATATTTGTCTTGTAATTTCCTTAGAATAAACTCTTCTAAGTAAAATTCTTGGATCACTTTTTTTGAGACTTTATACAAATTTTCAAATTGTCCTCCAGAAAAAAATTAACGTACTCAGCAAAGTGTAAATTTCCTCACCTGTCACCAATAATGGTTATTATTTGTTTTAAATCTTTGTCTCTCTGATACTGGGAGAATTGTGTTTCATAGTTTTATAAGGTTAAATATAAGGCTTCCCAAATAGCTATTAGACATTTATATTTCCTCATTATTGAATTGTCTGTTTTCTTTATTGTATTTATTTGTGAGGGTGTATCAATTTTTGTTAAGGATGCATTCTCTTTATATATTAAGGACTTACTTTTTGTCACAATATAGTGTAAATGTTTTCCCTCAGGAATTTTATGTACAGATAAATTGGTTTTTTTATATGTGAAAATTCAAAGAGCGTTCTTCAATAAAAAGGAGCTCAGAAGATGTGTAATCTAAACTTTGTAAAAATAATTGAAGAAGTTTTTCAGTCAAGTGAGAAATGAAGCAAAATTAAGAGCTCACAGGTAGAGAAGTCAATTTTAATAAGGGATCATTTTTTTTTTTTTGAGACAGAATCTCGCTCTGTTGCCCAGGCTAGAGTGAGTGCCGTGGTGTCATCCTTGCTCACAGCAACCTCAAACTCCTGGGCTCAAGCCATCCTCCTGCCTCAGCCTCCCGAGTAGCTGGGACTATAGGCATGCGCCACCATGCCCGGCTAATTTTTTTCTATATATATTAGTTGGCCAATTAATTTCTTTCTATTTATAGTAGAAACGGGGTCTCGCTCTTGCTCAGGCTGGTTTCGAACTCGAGCCATCCTCCCGCCTTGGCCTCCCAGAGTGCTAGGATTACAGGCATGAGCCACCGCGCCCGGCCAATAAGGGATCATTTTTAAAACTAGTGTTTGGCAGACCTTGGCTTCACCTCAAGAAATGCTTTGTGTTCATGTGAACTATGGACCACTGCTGCTTTTCATCTGTAAAAGTGTCTTATGTTTTTAAGATAATTTTTCCTTTAAATTCAGATGCTGCCCTTATGGCAGGAAAATAAAAAGATAATTTTTCTTTATAAATGATTTCATAGAAAACCAAATTCTCAATTTCAGAAATTTGACCTTTGCCCCATGGCCTTCCCGAAGGATAGATTTTTAAAACAATTGTAATTAATGGGACATGAAACTGCCAGAGGAAAGAGAATTTTGTAACAAAGTCTTGATATTTTTTAATGGTTGTCAAAAAGAAAATAGAATCTCTAGAAATTAATTAAAAAATTTCTCTCCAAATTTAAAGATACTTCACTTAAACTGTATTATGCTTCAGAATTGTTTAGGACTTGGTATGATTTTAAATTACTTGATTTGAAAAGGAATTTTTTGTGAGAAAATGATTTTCAGTAGAGACAAAGGCATTCCCCCACCCCCTTCTTTTTTGGCTTAGGAGAAAAAGATGAGAAGTGCTATTTTGGGGACAAAATTCCCAAGAGAAGGGAATCCTTTGGCAGCATATACAAACAGCTTTGGCAGAAAGCCACTCTCCAAAGGAAAAGGACTTCAAGCTTGTTTTAAACTAGGGAGTGGCAATGATCTCTAAGGCAAAGAGGGTAACCCTGATGCAAAAGGGGTGGACCAATAGCGATTGTTTTCAGGGAAACACCGCTTTACAAAAGCTCTATAGAGCTGCCTCATTAGAAATGGATGCGTTTTGGCCAATGCAGTGGCTCATGCCTGTAATCCTAGCACTCTGGGAGGCCAGGGCTGGCGCATTGTTTGAGCTCAGGAGTTCGAGACCAGCCTGAGCAAGAGCGAGACCTTGTCTCTACTAAAGATAAAAAGAAATTACTTGGACAGCTAAAAATATGTAGAAAAACTTAGCTGGCCATGGGAGGCTGAGGCAGGAGAATCGCTTGAGCCCAGGAGTTTGAGGTTGCTGTGAGGTAGGATGATGCCATGGCACTCACTCTAGCCAGGGCAACAGAGTGAGACTCTGTCTCAAAAAAAAAAAGACAAAGAAATTGATGAGTTTTGAGACATACCCCTTTCCCAGTTCTCTCTGGGGGATAAATTACTTTTCTAAGGAAGTGGTTATATTTTACTCAGGGCCACCATGTTCCCTTTAGACTTCCAAAAATAATAGTAATAATAATTTTAAAAGGGCTAGGCGTGCTGGCTCATACCTATAATCCTGGCACTTTGAGAGGCTGAGGCTGGAGGATCCCTTGAGTCCAGGAATTTGAAACCAGCCTGGGCAACAGTGAAACGCAGTCTCTACAAAAAATAAAAAATTAGCCAGGGAGTGGTGGCAAGCACCTATAGTCCCTCTCTACTCTGGAGGCTGAGATAGGTGGATCACTGGAGCACAGGAGTGGGAGGTTGTAGTGAGCTATGATGCCACTGCACTCCAGACTGGGCAACAGAGCGAGACTCTGTCTTAAAAAAGAATAAAAAAAAAAAAGAAAATGATAAATAAAATATAAATACTACAAACCTAGTTTGTTTCCTGACCTTTTCTATTTTCTGTTTCCTTCCAGAAGATAAATCACATGCCTACAAAAATGGATTCATGGTTAATTTGAGGGAGATTCTCATCTTTAATTTTAAAATGCTTTGAAATCTTTTTGTGACGCTGTATATATGGAAAATACCCTTTGCTCCTTATATTTCTGGGGTGGGTATGGATATGTGTATATGCACACTTATGCATTTAGTGTACATTTTCAAACTGACATCTTCAGTTGAGGGAAGTGCTATCTACTTGAATAAATTATTTGGAAAGAAGGCTGACAAGCCAGCCAGCCCATTCATGTGTGATTACATGTGCAATTATGTGTGACATTGCTGATTTGGTATGGTTGGATGTAATGTACATAAGGTTTAGTGAGGTGGGCAGAAAACTCAGTCATTTGAATGTCTCTTTCCCTTTGATTTTGAATGACTGGCAGTGGAACCAGTGGGATGGTAGCAGAGATCCCATACACCTTCCTCCAGAGACTAGAGAATGGAAGAGCTACTCCAAAGAAGAGTTTCTTGTCTCACTCATTCAATCAGCAAACCTCTACTGAGTACCTATGCTATGCCACACATTTGTTGTCTGTGCTATCTCCTTGCCAAAGACCTCATTTTCCCCTCCCTTCCCATAGTCCCAGCAGACACCCAGGGTCCTTATGCTACTGAAAAGGGTTGGATCTTTCCTCATCAAAATTCAAGTCCTATATTTCCTTCCTTGATGACTCTGCTAGAGTGGAGTTTTATGTTTAATAACCTTTTTATCATAAAATAAACTTCAAGATGGAGAAATATTTCAGAGGAAAAAAAATGATATGATGAGCATATTCACACGACACTGCATACTTGTAAACATTCTAATGCCTGGGTATTATTCAACTTTGTGCTTCCATTTCCTAATACTCACCTAAGTGTTGGATATTTAAAATCTGTCGTTTTATTTTCCGCATATTATAAATAATGCTAAAATGGACATATCTGCTTTTCAAACTTGGTTCACAATTTTATTTCCTTTGGGTAGGATTACTAAGTCATTGTTTATGAAACATTTTAAGATCCGTAATGTAAATTGCCAAATCTCTTTTCACAGCATTAGTTGCAACTTACAGTCTCATTAAGGGCACATTTATTTAGTGTGCCTATCCTGGCACCCTTACCCTGATTGAGTGCTAAAATCTTCATTGATTTTTTCATTTAACTTTCATTTTTTATTACTGATGAGATTGGATATTTTTCACATGCTTATTAGACATTTTTAGTTTCATGAGTTATCTGTTTATGTCCTTTGCTCATATTTCTGTGGGAGCTTTTGGGTTTTTCTTATTGACTTATATGAACTTATTACATAGTAAGGGTGTTGGCCTGTTGCCTTTAATGTTTATTGATCATATTTGGGCTAAAATACCTCCAAGATGTTATTCGCAATCAAGATAATTATTTTGGTGAGATCAGTTTATATCATTTTATGTAGAAGGCAGTTTTTAATGTTTAAAAATTAAGAGTATATACCTGAGAGCCAAGTACAGAAAACATCTATTCCATAAACTTCTATGAAATAAGGGGAGAGCATGCAGAGTTAAATTGCAAGGGACCTTGGTACTGCCAGTCAGTGCTTCTGTATTGATACAGCCATTGTATTCTTACTGTACTTCACGCCTAATGAGTTACCTCTGCTGTGCTCTTTACAAAAATATGAGATCTGTGCCCAGACTAAGCACTTGAAACAGGCAATGAGCTGCTTTGGAATTTACTGGAGTCCACAAAGAAGTCTAGTAATCCTTCATTCCCATATTTCAGTTTCCTTTACATTTCTAGCACCCCTGAAGGGCAGCCCCTCATATGTTCTCCTTTTCCTTTTAGACAACTCTTCTTCGCTCCAGGAAGATGAAGAGGTAGAGATGGAGGCCATCGGCTGGCAGGCCAGCAGTCCAGCCATGAATGGGCACCCTGCCCCTCCAGTGACCTCTGCTCGTTTCCCCAGCTGGGTCACCTTTGATGACAATGAAGTCAGCTGCCCTTTGCCACCAATCACCTCCCCTCTGAAGCCGAATACACCACCTAATGCATCTGTGATCCCGGATGTACCATATAACTCAACAGAGTCATTTAAGAAGAGGGACCGTCCCAAGAGCACTTTGATGAACATCTCCAAAGTTCAGAAGCTGGACATTTCCTCCTTACACCGTCCGCCTTCCGTAACGGAGGCTCCACCCTGGAGGGCAACCAACCCTTTCCTGAATGAGACTCTGCAGGATGTGCAGCCCTCCCCTATCAATCCTTTCAGTGCTTTCTTTGAGGAGCAGGAGAGGCGCTCCCAAAACAGTGCCATTTCTAGTGCCACAGGAAAAAGCCAAAGAGATTCCCTCATTGTCGTCTACCAGGATGCCATCAGTTTTGATGACTCAAGCAAAAGCCAGTCACACTCTGATGCTGTTGAAAAACTCAAACAACTCCAAATTGATGATCCTGATCACTTTGGCAGTGCTACGCTACCTGATGACGACCCGGTAGCCTGGGTTGAACTAGATGCTCACCCACCTCCGTCAGCACCATCCCAGCCCAGGGATGGGTGGCCAATGATGCTGAGGATCCCTGAGAAGAAAAACATCATGTCCTCCAGGCACTGGGGACCAATCTTCATCAAACTCACAGACAGTGGCTACCTGCAGCTGTATTATGAGCAGGGCCTAGAAAAACCATTCCGCGAGTTCAAGCTGGAGATCTGCCACGAGATTTCAGAACCCCGGCTTCAGAACTACGATGAGAATGGCAGGATCCACAGCTTGCGGATAGACCGTGTCACCTACAAGGAGAAGAAGAAATACCAGCCCAAACCTGCTGTGGCCCACACAGCAGAGAGGGAACAAGTGATCAAGCTGGGCACCACCAATTATGACGACTTCCTGAGCTTCATCCACGCAGTTCAGGACCACCTCATGGCTCTCCCGGTGTCGTCCATGGACTTGAGTACGGTTGGCCTGAACTACCTTGAAGAGGAGATTACCGTGGATGTCAGAGATGAATTCTCTGGTGTTGTGAGAAAAGGAGACAACCAGATCCTCCGGCACCACGTCTTGACGCGGATCCACATTCTGAGTTTCCTTTCGGGGCTCGCAGAGTGCCGCCTGGGCCTCAATGACGTCCTCGTCAAAGGGAACGAAGTAGTGTCACGGCAGGACATCATGCCCACCACCACCACGAAGTGGATCAAGCTCCACGAGTGCCGCTTTCACGGGTGTGTGGATGAGGATGTGTTCGACAGCTCCCGGGTTATTCTGTTCAACCCTCTGGACGCCTGCCGCTTTGAGCTAATGCGGTTCAGGACGGTGTTTGCTGAGAAGACCTTGCCTTTCACGCTCAGGACGGCAGCCAGTATCAATGGCGCGGAGGTGGAGGTGCAGAGCTGGCTGAGGATGTCCACTGGCTTCTCCTCTAATCGCGACCCCCTCGCTCAGGTCCCCTGTGAGAATGTGATGGTCCGTTACCCTGTCCCCAGTGAGTGGGTGAAAAACTTCCGCAGGGAAAGTGTCCTGGGGGAAAAGTCTTTAAAAGCCAAAGTGAACCGGGGGGCGAGTTTTGGCTCCACTGGTGTCTCTGGCTCTGAGCCTGTCATGAGGGTCACCCTGGGAACCGCCAAGTACGAGCATGCCTTCAACTCCATTGTGTGGAGGATAAACCGGTTGCCTGATAAAAACTCAGGTGGGTAGTGGTTTCTCTTCTGAGAAAACAACCGCGTGGATACAAAACAGCTGGGATGGCAGCTGGAGCAAGAGCGAGACCTCGTCTCTACTAAAAATAGAAAAAATTAGCTGGGTGCAGTGGCATGAGCCTCTCGTCCCAGCTACCTGGGAGGCCGAGGCAGGAGGATTGCTTGAGCCCAGGAGTTTGAGGTTGCTGTGAGCTAGGCTGACCCCACCGCACTCTAGCCCGGAAAACAGAGCGAGACTGTGTCTCAAAAAATAAAAAAGAAAAAGAAAAAAACAGCTGGGATCAAGGTGCCAAATCCTAGGTGAAGTGCTTATTTTTCTTGTGTGATAAGCATGGTGACAGAGGGGGAGTGGGACCAGGATAGTAAAAACAGTTAAGCAAAGTAAGTAATGAGCATAGTGGTTCAATTCATTCTGTCTTTTCATCCTCCTCATTAGCACACGCCTTCCAAAAACTATGTATTATTATTTCTCAGCTGAGCTGCTAGACAGTTCTCCAGGGTAGATTTTGAACTTTTTTTTTTTTCTTTTGAGACAGAGTTTCACTTTGTCCCCCAGGCTTGAGTGCAGTAGAACAATCATAGCTCACTGCAGCCTTGAACTCCTGGGTTCAAGCGATCCTTCCATCTCAGCCTCCTAAGTAGCCAGGACTACAGGTGTGTGCCACCATGCCCGGCTAATTTATTTTTTAATTTTCTTGTAGAGATGGGGATCTCACTATGTTGCCCAAGCTGGTCTTGAACTTCTGGGCTCTAGCAATCTTCCTGCCAGCCTTCCAAAGTGCTGGGATTACAGGCGTGAGCCACCACTCCTGGCCAGGTTCTGAATTTTTATTCTTTTGGGAGTCATTAAAGTATTAGCTGTGGTGCTGGAAGTGATCCATTTCTAGATTCTGGAAGGCTTCTTGGTCCTGAAGAGGCATCTTTGTCACTCTCCCTTGATGTAGGAAAAATGGCCAGTTTATGGTCAATCATATGTACAGTATATGGAGCAGTTAATTTAATGACTGTAGCTTCTATGTGCCAGGGCTGTCAGCTCAAACATCTCAAGCTCAGAGATAGGGGAAGGGAAAGACAAATGGCCTCCAATCAGACTGAAGATCCAGCCAAGACATGGAAGTCTAAAAGTGCCAAAAAATTCCATGAGACAAAAAGTAGAGGAAGGAATGTTGGATTTAAACCAAAGAAAAAGAGAAGCTTACCTGCCCTAGCTTAGCTGCTCACAGCTATCAGGGATGGTTTTGTGCTTGAATGAGCCCAGAAGGCAATTACTTTCCCCCTGGGTCCAGTGGGATTTTGTGAAATGACAAAACTAGGGAGCTGTCAAACCAGCACTAATACCCTTATTTCTCAGACTAAGTGTGGGTGACCCCAGTGGCAGGCAACAAAACAAGTCCATGTTCCCGTGAGCCTTTAAATCCTTTCTCTTCTTGTTTATAATAAATTCTGCCCTTCCGTTAACAAAAGTGGATATGCTAGCTGAGCAGAAAGAGTAAGGCTTGGGAAAACTCTTGAGTGAAATGTCTGTCTCTTATGCAGCTATCCTTTTTTCCATTCCGACCATTAAATTCTAACAGTGTGTTCCGAGTCTTCCTCTCCAGCTCTTGAGTGTGGAGTGGTGGTGTTATCATATCCTGAAGATAATATGATGTGATGGCCAGAGGCAACACGATCTGGCCGGCTCCCCGGGCGGTGCAGGGAGTGGACACACACAGCAGGGCGTTGTGTGTCAGACGCTGGGTGTAGCAGTGCAAACTGAAGAGACAATCGGACCTCTGTGTTAGAGGCTGCCTTTGCTACCCCCTATTTCTAAACTGACAGAATTTTTAAAACAAAGTCTTCCTCTCTGTGCTTGCTTGTTCATTTCCCCTGAAGTCAGCGCTGTATTCCCCTGGCGATAGCACCGTGATTTCTACCTCAGCCAGGGGGCTCATCTAACTTGGAAGAGGAAAGGAGACACCCTGGGTTCTCCTTGGGCACACAGGCCATTGGAAAGAGAGAACCGTGGAATTTGGGGATTTTCAAGCTGGAAGGGGCCTTGGAGATAACTTAGTCAAACCTGTTCAATCTACAGATGAGAAAATTAAAGCCAGGGAGGTGACAGAACTCATCGGAAGTTCCACAGCCACATGCAGGGGCCTTTTCTCAATACCGCAGATACCTCTTAGTAGGAGAAACTAAATAGACACAAACTTGAAATAATTTCTACTGTGAGAGTAGAGATTTATAGTTTATGTGGTATGTACAAATATATCTCACTTGTTTCAAAGTGATTGCTCTCAAATATTTAAAAGTACTATATGAGAGATTTTTTATTAAAAGCAGCAAAGACTAAGTGACTACCTTAAGCAAAAACAAAAAACCAAACCCAAAAAACAATAAAACCACAGACTGTTGGTTGGATGGATATGGGTTATGGATATGGGTCAGCTGAAAGAACTGAATGACAGGTTGAACAAGGAGATTTCAGAAAGGATCGCACCAGAATAGCTCTGGTAATGGAAACTCATGGATGTCTCCTCAGCATGCAGTTGTGGGGATGTATCGCCACAAATTATTTTCTTTCCTTGTGCCACTTGGCTCAAGAATCAAGAGGAGGGTAGTGCGTTTTGACTGACAGGACCACCAAGACAACATGCAGCACTGGGGAAGATTATTTCCCAAAAGGAGAGAAAGGAGGTTCTTTCTGGTTCTTCTGCTACCAGAAGAAACGGGGGACACAGGACAGGCCTTCAGCGAACACTTTTTCCTTAATGCTTCCCAGTGGAGAGTGTTCAGTAGGCTCAAGGCCAAATAAATGTAGTTTATGTACTGTATTACATATATATTTCCAGGTTACTGGAACCTCGTTTGTGGAAGATTTCCGAAATGCAGGACAGCATAAGGATATTTCTTACCTAAACATCCAACTTCTGTTACTGCTTTTGCTGTCATGCTTATATATTTTTAATAATGAAACCCCCCAAAGAGGCTTCTTATACTTTTTCTGGCCAATTACATGTTTCCATACCAGTTGAGGAAATTGTTAGCACCTTTTTGTCGTGCTGATTATTCACCAGGAAATAAAACATTTTGTCCTGTATAGGTAGTTTTCTTTGCTGGAGTTTCAGTTCTCATTAGACCAGGAGAAGAGAAAACACTCCCAATATGATCACCTTTTTATGGAAGGTAAAAATCTGAATATTAATGTTGTATTTTCTCAACTGCATCAAGGAAGATGATGTAACGGGTAGGCTTATTTAGTTCATTACCATGAATTACATTATACCAGCTTTCAAAATTGCACTTCCTTGTCTACCACCCCTACATATCTGACAGTTGATGCTAGGAAAGAATGTTGCTTTCAGAGTTTGCTGTGAATACACTTCGGTGGTGTGAGAGGAGGGAATCAGTTTTGTAGAAAAATGATTTTTCAATGTTCTAACAATGTGTAAATAAAGGTAATTAGATAAAAAGAGTTGCTCAAGTTGCTCTTGAATTAAGAGATGCTCCTATATACTGTGAAGTGATCTAATTCCATAGCAATATATTGAGAAGAATTTAGGACATATTAATAGTTTGAAGTCAGAGTCATATCTGAGTTTTATTTTCCAGCTCTGCCACTAAAGGGCTGTGCGGCCTGAGGCAATTGACTTAATCCTCTCAGAGAAATTTTTCTCATCTATAAAATCAGGGTATTAAGACCTAGCTCATTCAGAAGGTAATGAAATAATGCTTTTAAGTGCTTAGCACAGTATCTGGCCTGTAATAAATGTCCAATAAATAACAGCCATGTAATTATATCTGTGGTACACAATTAAAAGAGTGAACGGATTCATTTTCAAATAATGTAGTTTTTACCATTATGTATATCTTATTTAATTTTTTTTCCTAAAAACGTGCAAATTTTTCAGTTATTACTCTTTAGAAATAACCTTTGAAATATGTTACATTTGTGAAACAGAGAGCAAAACAAATACTTCACTCTGGTAATGTTTTCCTTAGAGAGCGGGTGTGTTAAGTCCTCACTCTCTGAGGATGAAAAGTCCTGCCCAGACCAATAAAGAACATTGAAATTGCTTCTTTGGGGAAACTGGGATAACTAAGGGGCTGTTTCAGTTACATAATTAAGGCAAAGTCATTTTGTGCTGTTTATTCATAGCCAGTTGCTATCTGGGGGCTCTTGCAACTTACTCCCTCTCTACCCCTGTCATCCTGCAAATGTGGTCTTGAGGTTTGGGGACCATGAGGTTATGACTCAGGCAAAGTGGTTAAGAACACTCTGGAGTCAGACTACTGGCTTCAGTTCTTAGCTCTGCCACTTTCTAGTTGTGACCTGAGGCAGCTCACTTGACCTCCCCCTAAGCCTTAGTTTCCTCATCTATAAAATGAGGATATTATTATGACCTTGAGGGATTGTAATGAAGATTCAGCGAGAGAATCTGTGTAAAAGATTTAGCATAGTACCAACCATCAGGCTTCGGGTGCTTAACACACGTTTCCTGTTACATCAGATGAATGACAATGATGTTTCAGTGGTGACGTTCATAGAATTAAGCTCCAACTCTTTTTTCCTCAAAAATCTAATAATTCTCAAGTGAAAATCAAACCCTATGTTTGCCATCCAAGTACAACAGAATTACCCACAGATTTATGAAATTAAAGAGCAGCAGGGTCTGGCACCATCCAGCCTACCTTTTCCTACCTCTCCCCACAGTGCCAGGCCCCCCACTTTATAGGTGAGGAATGGAGGCCTGGAGAGAAAAAGGACTTGGACTTGGGGCTGGAGCTCTGCTGCCTAGTAGGAGAGCTGGAAGTGAAACCCAGGTGTTCTGCTCGTTGGACGTCTGTCAATTGTCCATATGTTTGCCTAACACATGTGTGCTGTTTATAAGGTCTTTGGCATTTGCATGTATTATTAACCCACAAACGATGCCAAAAGCCTTTTGAAAATATGAAGTGGTATTAAGAAAATTCAGTTCATCTTTCAAAGGAAAGCACTTTTGCTTCAGGTGGCTGCCATTGATGTTTTATTAGGTGCTAAGTGCCGATCCCTCTTTTCCCATTCTTCCCCTTTGCAGCCCCTGTTTCTTAGCACTTGTGCTGTGTTCACCTATCACTCTGGCCTGAGCAGGTGGCTCAGGCCTTGGGTTTTCTTGCTAGGATACCAGGCTGCTATAGTCACGTGATGTTATACCAAAGGGTCTGAGGCACACAGAGTGTGATTTCTGCCAAGGCAGATCCTCTTGCCCAGCACTGGATCCTCTGCAGGACCGCAGGTGCCCAGCCCGCAGGTGCCCAGCCCGCAGGCCTCCTTTGTCATTGAGGCAGCTTCTCCGGCTGCTGCTTCCACTGTCTCACTGCTGCCAAAGACTCTGATCTCTGAATTGTCTTTTATTCTCATAGCTTCCGGTCACCCCCACTGTTTCTTTTGCCACCTTGAACTTGGCTCTGACCGGGAAGTGCCTTCCAGATTTGCCAATCATGTGAATGTCGAGTTCAGCATGCCCACAACTTCTGCCTCCAAAGCCACTGTACGATCCATCTCCGTGGAAGACAAGACTGACGTCAGAAAATGGGTCAATTACTCCGCACACTACAGCTACCAGGTAGCCTCGAGAGGTGTCTGGCTGATGCTTTCAAGTTCATTTGCTCACCCCTCTTATTCCTTTCAGCAGTGCTTACCGTGGTTGCAGGTATTCTCTTCCCACCTTGGAGGAAGTTCACCACACTTGGGTGTGGATGAGCCTGCTCTGATTTGAATGAACAGTTTCTCTCGTGGCTAAGAGAAGGGTTGAAAAAAATAAGTAAAGAGGAGAATATAAATGTCTTTCTGTCATCAGGAACAATAACAACAAAAGGAGAATGGGATAAAAGGGTTATTATTAGTCATTTATAATAAAGTTTATATAGCAGAGTAGTGAACTTGGAAGTAGAGGGGAGCATTAGGAAAGTCTTAACCCAAAGCATATATTTCAGCTACAGGAGCTGATGAAGTGGATCTAAACAAAGTTAGGTCACTGTGACCTGGGCACTGGGCTGTTATAGGACAAGACTTAAAAGCCAAGAAAATTTTTATAACAGGATCAGGGCCGTGGAAGGAATAATCAGAGTTGGAGCTTTCTGACATAGATAGAAAACAATAATATCCTGAAGGGTTAGAAATTCAATAGAAGATTAAATGCCAAAGATTTGAAAAGTAGGTTTATCGAAAAGAGATTTTGCAGAGTGTTTTAATAATTTTCTATTTGTAATGTCCTTAGATTTATATGGTGATTTATTGTTCCTCTAAATCAGGGATCCTCAAACTTTTTAAACAGGGGCCAGTTTACTGTCCCTCAGACCATTAGAGAGTGCACACTGTGGGCCCCAGCCGAGTCAACTGCTAACCATGACAGACAATGGCGGCAAAAACACCCGGAGGGCTGGATAAATGTGCTAGGTGGCCCACAGGCCAGACCGTAGTTTGAGGACACTTGCTCTAAATGTTTCCTTAGTTGTGTGAGCTAAAACACATAATTACCAAAAAGAACAAGTACTCCATCTTGTGGCCAGGACAAAATATAGGACTTCCCTTAACCCTGTTTTGTATTGAATCATTCATTGCCTTCTGAGTCCAGCATCCTAAGTATCCCAAGTGTTGCTGAGAGGTGCAACCTCAATCATGAAATTCCTGAGCTCAGTGGATTCCCTACCTGATTTATCAAAGATCAGATGAGATGTGTTGCCTTGAAGGCAAGATTAATTGATTACACCCTTGTAATGACAGCTACAGTATTTTGCAGAAGATATGGTAGAACTGTAAACACTCCAGTAATGTTTGGAGGGTTTTTTTTTTAAAAGAGATATAAAGTACTGGGGTGTAAACAGTCAATTACAAAGGAATTCATTCATTTGATAAATCAATTGCCTACTGTATTCCTACATTATTGTATAAAATATTGAACAAGATCCTGTTCCTGTCCTGTGGAGCCTATGGTATAGTGGAGCTGGACAAGTGTACAAAGCATAGTTGAAATATTCACAGGGAGAAGCACTTGAGTCTACTTAATGAGTTGAAAATTGCTTCAAAGAAGGGTTGACCTTTGAGCAACTGTGCAAGCCAAAGAATAAAAATTTTCCAGGTGAACCATAAGGGAGAGGGAATTCCAGACCAAGCAAAGAGCATGAGCAAAGAGAGAGTCATGATATACTTAGGGTCAGTAGCTCCAATGTGGCTAAAGCCCAAAACATTAGCAAAATTACAGGGAATCTCAAAGAACCTACGGAGGTATTCTCTTTTGGTTTATTTATTTGTTTGCATGCTTTTCTCCTCTTTTTGATATTTATCTCCAACTTCTATTCTTGGCAGGTGGAAATTGAGCAAAAAAAAAGTTTGAAGCCGGACTTTGAAGGAGATGAAATGGAAAATCCCAAGGAGTGTGGGGTACAGTGACAAAACCCTGCAGTAAGGAACCCTGACCCAGGAGTCATGATAGGGTATCTTCTTGAGTAGCTGAAGTTTAAGTCAATACCTGCTGTGGCCACTCCATGTTGGGAACAGTGTATCAGACCTTCTGTTTGCAGTTACCTGCATTTTAACAGGAAACCCTGAAATGGTTGTTTTGGAAAGGCTCTTTGAGTCTGATCACACCTGAAGCAGGGGTTCACCTGACTTCTGGAGCTTATAGTATAATTAAGCCTCCTTGTCTCATCTCCGCTTATCTCAAGCACTGGTATGTGGCTTGTTGTGACAGAGTCAGGAAGAGAACCTCCCGCATCAGTGTTGACATGATTTCCTTGTGATATTCTTCTGTCACTCACATGAGTTTCTAGAAAAGGCAGTCCTGAGAACTTAAGAATCCATCTCTTTCACTCCCTCTAGAAAATGTTCAGAAAAGGTGCGAAACAAATTTCCTGTTTGGATCTACTAGACCAGTGTAGGTGTCTGCATTCTTTAAATGTTAACACTATGCAACAGAAGTTTTCGAGATGTTTTCCTCCTGCTTCTAGATTGTTTAGATCGGAACACTTTTTCTCTAAGGTTTCATCTCTCTAAGGTTTCAGTCCCAGGATTTGCTATCCTGAGTCATAATAGACAATGGAAAAAGACACAATAGGATACTTTTTTATTCTGTGAATGACCCACATTCTGCAAAAGGGCTACTGTTAGGGGAAGGCAAAATTAAGCTTATTTTTCTTCATTCTGGGGAAAAAAGACATTTAATGTAAGATTATATTCAGTTCAGAAGATAGCTTCAATCTCAGTGAATTCCCAAATTCATACTGAAAAATCCAGGCCACTTCTGATTCCTGAAACATATGAATATATATATTATACCTCAGGCATTTGTAAGGGGCATTTGGGAGTTCTTTTTATACCTCATAGCCAATAGACAGTTCAGTTACATGTCTCTTCATCCCAGGAAATTTAAGCTGAAATGATAATTTTAAAAGCTATTTTAAAATTAAGCTTGAATGAGCTTTCCCCCAAAATTCAGAGTTTAATAATTGCAGTATCATAATAGATCAAAAAGGTCTCCAGGGTAGAGCTGGGGAAAAGACATATTTTTCTAATGTTGAGAACATTAAATACTAATTTCAAGGGTCAGAACACTCCTTTTCCTCCTTCTGTTCCTGGGACAATCTTCCTTTCCTTCATCTGTTTCTGCTCTCTTCTGCCTCTTATTTGTACCTTGGTGTTTTCTCCCTTGAAGAATAGAGTGAGGGGACAGAAAGCATACATTTCACATTTGTAGATGATGCAGAAATAGCAGTATCTCCAGTTTAGGGCTGATAGATTCAAGATTAATTTATTAAATGAACAATCATTGAATTCTAACTATGTACTGATGTTAGCATATAGAAATCATTACTATGTTATGAAGTATCTGAACATAAGACTGAAACTAAAAGGATGAGATTGAATAGGCATTAACGAGAAACCCTATGTCCTGGGATTTTAAAAGGCAATCCTTCTAAGTACAGAGTGAAATCTGTGTTTGTGGATATGTGTGTTTATGTGTGTGTGTTGATGGGAAGGGTGTTGGAAAGACCTGGTTTCACAGCAGTTTATGTAGAAATGTTTTCTTAGGGAAATGGGAGTTCAATTTTAAGTCAGCAGTATATTGTGGCTATTCACAAAGCTGATGCATTCAACCTGTGTTAAAAGTTCAGGGAGCCCCGCATGCCATAAGGGTCAGTCCATATCTAGATGGAGGCTTGGATTCAATTATAGGTACCATATTTTAAGATCAATTTAATCAATCAATAAATTGATTGTGTCCACAGGTAGGTGACCAGGATTGTGAAAGGTCTGATTATATAGGGAATAGGATGGTAGCTCCCCTGAAGAACAGAAGGTACAGTGGGGAATGAGATGCAGACAAGGAGGGAATAATATAATAGCTGCCTCGAAATTTCTGTTGAGCTATGAAACAGAAGAGGAATTAGACTTTGTAGCTTCAAAGGGCAAAAAATGAACAAAGGAACTTTACAGATGATTGCTTCAATATAAGAAAGAATTTTCTAATAAGACTTGTTCTAAAGAGGAATGGACTCAAGCTGTAAAATTTCCTGTTGCTGCAAATGTTCAAGTTTAAAATAACCACTGATCCCAGGTGCTATGAAAGGGACTCTTACATTGGATTTTGTCTAGATCACTACCAAGATCCCTTCTAAATATAGGTTTAAGGTCAATAAGAATCTCTAATTCCAATTTTCTTTTCCTTCAGACACGGTTTTTCATACTCTTTGAAATACAGTGGAGTCCCTTCAAGGTCTTTGTCAAGGGATTCAAAGGCATATTTTCCCCAGTATTGTACTAAAGGCATCTGAGATTCCTCATAGAACATTTGGATGGGTTAGAGAGTTGTTAAGGTGAATGAAGGTCATCCCAGCACCTTCCTGACTTCCTCAAGCCCAGCACCCTGTCAGGATCTCTGCCTCATCTGTTAATATCAACTGTTTATTGCTTGTTGGATTTATTCCCCCCACCCCTTGGTTAATTCTCATTGACTTCATGCTTTCACCTGGACTTTTTTTTTTTTAATGGTTTGTAGAGATGAGGTCTCTCTATGTTGCTCCAGCTGGTCTTAAAACTCCTGGCCTCAAGCAATCCTCCCACCTTGGCCACTCAAAGTGCTGGGATTACAGGCATGAGCCACTGCACCTGGCTGGGATTCTTTTTAAACCCAAGAGTTGGGAAAATCCCTCCTATGCTATCTACATTTAGCAGACAAATTATTATTAATTTTTGAAAATCTACCACCTTGATTTCATCAAATTTGTTTTCCTTCTACTGTTTTTAGAAAACTGATTATATGTAGCATTTAGAGGTTTGAGGAATATAACCTAGTGGTTTACTGGTCTAAATAACCTACATAGAACACACCGTTGGGCAAATTACCTATGTAATAACCTACAAGAACACACAAATTACTTTTTTGATGTACACATTCTTCGTTTGCCACCCTGGATCTGAGTTTTTACTTTTTAAATTTTTTTGTGGTCACAAATAATCCTTGTCTGTTATCAATAATGTGAAAATATTAAAAGTGAATTCATTTTACTTTTACATAGTATTACTATTAGAACATATATTGGATGTTACATGATACCAAGAACTGTACTTTCTTTTGAGTCTAGGACTTGCTTTTCAACTTTACAGTAAAAGGATGAGAAATGTACCCACTGCTATGTCAAATAAGATAATGTGAGGCATTTTGCGGGGGAAACCATTAAACACCCTTTGCCTGCTCTTGTAGCCACAGTACTAGTTATTCCTTATCAAAAGTTCACATTTCATTCATATGAAATGAATGTTCTGTTTTTTTCTGTTTAGTTTTTGTCCTACTCTTACCTTTCATGCATTATTGGCAGTGCTCATAATCCTTGAGAACATTTTTTTTTTTTTTACTTTAAATATTTCTTACTTGAGACTCATTTCTAATTAAATCTAGAGGTTGGGAGCAGTACTTTACTTCTCTAGAAACTCATGTTTCTTAGAAATGTGATCCATGAAGGGATTGAATATGTCTTATTCTTTGTGTTTCTAATGCCTAGCACAAAGCTTACAATATAATAGGGGTCAGCCACCTTAATTCCTTGCTGATAGGGCAAACATTTTTCATGAAATATGGGAAAATTGCTAGGTGTTCAATAAATGATTGCTGGAAGAATATTGACCCTGAGACTCTAAGACTACTTAACCCTTACTTATCAAATATTCATATCAAAGCAAGTAAGCATGCTTTTATTTCCTAGGAGACTTAAATAATTTTGTTTTCCTTATATTCCCCTATCTAAAGTCAACTAATAATACTTGTCAGCACTTAGGCACTTACTGTGCTGCTGAATTTAAACCACAGTGTACCTTATTCATATTGAAAAACATTTCTCTGCCCAAAGATACAGTAGTATAGATGCTGTCCATAGTCAAGATCCAGTTTTTTTTACCTGCAAGCCAAACAGATCTATGAACCCCAACCTTGCCCATGTGAATGGTCAGTGGGAGAAAAAACATTTGATAGAATGCACTGCTGGTCTTCAGGTGCTAGGTCTTTGTTTCTCCCAATATTAACCACTGACCAGTGTTACTGTGTATTTATTTTGTCATCATAGTAAGATGGAGGTCTGAGATAGTAAGATGAAATTTTGATTTCAGAGTTGATTTATATTTCATAAATTTAGTGGGGGGAAAGCAGAGAATGAACTGAAATTTTTTCTTGGGAAAATTAAATTGGTGTTAGTAGGAAGCACTGCTATCCAGCCTATTTTTAGAATTTTCTCCCAGTTGGGAATTGTAACATCAGCTCTTCTAAGAATGATGATTATAAGTTAATTCCAGCATATCTAGAGTTTAGGCTATGTTAAAAATGTGATTTAGGCCAGGCACAGTGGCTCACACCTGTAATCCTTGCACTCTGGGAGGCTGAGGTGGGAGGATCCCTTGAGTTCAGGAGATTGAGACCAGCTTGAGCAAGAGCGAGACCCACCCGTCTGTACTAGAATTAGAAAAATTAGCCAGGTGTCATGGCATGCTTCTGTAGTCCCAGCTACTCAGGAGGCTGAGGCAGGAGGATCGCTTGAGCCCAAGAGTTTGAGGTTGCTGTAAGATAGGCTGATGCCACGGCACTCTACTCAGGGCAACAGAGTGAGACTCTGTCACCAAAAAAAAAAAAAAAAATGCGATTTAACAGGAATTTCAAATAAAACTGACAAAATTAAATCCAGAAAAAGTATCATCTGGTAGACGAATTATCAGTAACACTTCACTACCACATCCCATCCAAACCATGACAAATCTTTAGATAAAATTAGGGCATTCTCCCAAGTTTCTAGGGTATTTCCTAAACATTACCAATGTCTAAGTGGCAATTCTCTACAAATCACCATTTCTTAATTATGCTTTTTGCAAATTAGACTGGCATTAGATATCATGACTGATATTTATGTATTTAAGGAATTAAAAGTGGAGGCAATGTAAGGCAACCATAAACATAGACACGTGTATATTAGTAATATTTCCCCATGTATTGACTAAGACGAGAACATGAGATTTTTGTATTTCTTCTAGTGTGCCTTAGGAAATCTGCTGGAGAAAGTCTAGTCCTTTGTTTTGAGAATTGAAAAAACATACCTCTCAAATTGTAATTCCAAGCCTGTAAAGGCAGAAGCTATCCATAGTAATGTGTTTGGTAGCACCTGGAGTGAGGCAAATAATACTTGGATGTAACAAAAAACTATAAAAGAACAGACTTAAAAAAACAGAATTTCAGTATGCAAAGATAAAGTATAGAGTGATGACAAATAACAGCGTTGGGCTTCAAGCCTCAAAATACTTGAACTAGAGGCCATCTCTTAAAGTAAGAAGCTCTAGGAAAAATAAAAGATTGCACAGCAGGGATATACAATAGAATATTATTCAACTCAAGTACTGTCAAGTGTCTACTCCAGTCAAGGTGCTGCGTTAGCAGTCAGCTTCCCTAAAGGAAGCAGTGGCTAAACATAAGGACACTGGTAGGCATGCCGTAATGCATTTATTAAGGGAGAATTGGGCCTTCTGTGAGTCTTTAAGGGACGTAGTCATGGTGACCGTCACTATGTTCAGTGACTTGCTATTTTCTCAATTGGGCTTTAGTTCCCTCAGATAAAGAAAGTGAGGAAGTTGGACTAAATCGTTCCCTCACATCCTTTCCAGCTCTGGTTTTATGGGTTATTTTACAAAGTATCCTTTGGTGCCACTTTCCTTGATACTTCATGCCAATATGACTTCATGTATTCTTAAGAACCAAGAAATTCAAATGTTGAAAATTAGGAAAATCAGCTGGTCCATCTTTTTCCTTTTATCATCTGTACTTTTTACCATCTTCCCAGACAACAGAGACATAGAAAACTCTACAATCCTCTCTTTTGCAGTTGCCTTCAAAACACAGATTAAGAAGGGGGATCAAAGAGGGCGGTGAAGGTCCCCTGGAATGCTGCTCTGGAAGTTCCACCAGTGTCACCCGCAGACAGTGGTGAGAGTGTGCAGAGGCATAGGTTGATCTCCAAAGTGGTTGTTAGGGTTTGAAGCAGAAGTAAGGTCTCACCCCCCAATGTCCAAGAATGTTAGGATGTTAGGATGATCAACAATTTATAGATATGTCCCTTTACATAAGACTGTGGAAACTGAAGGAGGAAAAAAACACTCCGTAAACATCCTGGGGCTCTTGTAAGTTATGGGAAAGCCAGATGAGAGAAAGGGACATTCTCCCCCTCCCCCTGCCATCCTCGCTGTCTCTTAGTAACACCAAAATGTCATTTAAAAAATTTAAAACCATGTACAAGCTACACAATGGCATCTTTTTTGTGGTGTGTTTGAGTATGATTTTAGTTTCTTTCTGGTTGTACTTAGATGTGTTGGATCGATTCCAACTAGAGCAAGGAATTCCAGCACCCTTTTCCTGTTCACTTCTGTGTTCTGCCCCAGATCAAACCCTCAGTTCTGGTTGTGGACACTGTCTAGCCACACTGTGAAGAAGCCTTGAGCACCATTGCTCGCTCCCACGTGCTCTAGGATGAGCGACCCCAGTGGCACTCTATGGGATCAGTTCTGGGAAAGCAAATCCCAACAGCAAACTGTAGGCGTTTTAAAGTATGGGGGTGAGGGAAGAGAAGGATACGAACTCCTCCAACCTTAAGCCAGCATTCATTCAACATTTGTGTCCACTTGCCAACAGAACCTGGAGAAACTTCATATTCAAGAGATTCATCAGAATCAGTGTTTCAGCCAGGTGGTGACAGAGGAGCACCCCTCCTCACCCTCCATTGTCGTCATATCCATGACATTTCAGTGTATCAGGACAGATAAACCCAAGATCCAATGACTCATTCAGCGAATCCAAGGCTTGCATTTTCCTTCCTCATCCATCCTCCTTCAACGTAACTTCTTGCACTATTGTGGTTAATTTTATGTAAAACCAGTTTACTTTTTTTGTTTTTTAAATAATATGTG